TGTTCAGGGGATCCCCAATGGGGTTGAGAGGGTCCCCAGTGGGGTTCAGGGGATCCCCACTGGAGTTGAGGGGTCCCCAATGGGGTTCAGGGGTTCCCCAATGGGGTTCAGGGGGTCCCCAATGGGGTTCAGGGGTTCCCCAATGGGGTTGTGGGGGTCCCCAATGGGGTTCAGGGGTTCACCAATGGGGTTGAGGGGATCCCCAATGGAGTTGAGGGGTCCCCAATGGGGTTGTGGGGGTCCCCAATGGGGTTCAGGGGTTCCCCAATGGGGTTCAGGGGATCCCCAATGGGGTTGAGGGGGTCCCCAGTGGGGTTCAGGGGATCCCCAATGGGATTGAGGGGATCCCCAATGGAGTTGAGGGGTCCCCAATGGGGTTCAGGGGTTCCCCAATGGGGTTCAGGGGTCCCCAATGGGGTTGAGGGGGTCCCCAATGGGGTTCAGGGGTTCACCAATGGGGTTCAGGGGTCCCCAATGGGGTTGAGGGGGTCCCCAATGGGGTTCAGGGGTTCACCAATGGGGTTGAGGGGGTCCCCAAAGCTGGGGGGGGGGCACTGACCGTGCTATAGGTCTGGTTGTTCCGCTTGATGAGGAAGCTGGAGCAGTTCCGCAGCACCATCCACTGCAGGTGGGACGACATCGCCCTAGGGACGGGGGGGGAATGGGGCTCAGGGGCTGCCAGGACCCCCCACAGCCCCCTGTGGGCCCCCCATAGCCCCCTGTGGAACCCCCAAAGCCTCCTATAACCCCCTATGGACCCCCTATAGACCCCTATACACCCCCCATAGGCCCCTACGGACACCCCAAACCCCTCTGTGGACCCCCCATAGCCCCCTACAGACCCCCATAGCCCCCTCTGGGCCCCCCAAAGCCCCCTATGGGCCCCCCATAGACCCCTATGGAACCCCCAAAGCCTCCTATAACCCCCTATGGACCCCCCATAGATCCCTATAGGCCACCCATAGCCCCCTATGGACCCCCATAGCCTCCTATGGACCCCTACACACCCCCATAGCCCCCTATGGACCCCTACACACCCCCATAGCCCCCTATGGACCCCCATAGCCCCCTATGGACCCCCCACAGCCCCCCATGGACCCCCCATAGCCCCCCATGGACCCCCCATAGCCTCCTACAGACCCCTATGGACCCCCATAGCCCCCTATGTACCCCTATAGACCCCCCATAGACCCCTATGGACCCCCCATAGCCCCCCATGTACCCCCCATAGGCCCTTATTGACCCCTATGGACCCCCCATAGCCCCCTACAGACCCCCATGGACCCCCATAGCCCCCTATGGACCCCCATAGCCCCCCATGGATTCCCCATAGGCCCTTATGGACCCCCATAGACCCCCATGGATTCCCCATAGGCCCTTATGGACCCTCATAGACCCCCATAGCCCCCCATGGCCGCAGCCCCACGCGGCACCTCCGCTCGCTGCCGCCACCGGAAACGGAAGGAGCGTCAGCGGCGGGGCGCGGCGAGAGCAGCCCTGCGCTTCGGCAACTTCCGGTTCGCTTCGGCAACTTCCGGTTCCCTTCGGCAATCTCCGGTTCCCTTCGGCAACTTCCGGTTCGCTTCGGCAACTTCCGGCTCCCTTCGGCAACTTCCAGTTCCCTTCGGCAATCTCCGGCCTCGGCTTCGGGATCGCCCCAGTGGGCGGGGCCTAGCGGCGGCGGGGCGGGCACCGTTCGCCTTATAGGGAAGGTCAGGGGCTCATTATGCGATGAGAGGGCGTGGCCATGGGCAGTGGGCGTGGCCTGGGGCTCTTTCCCCCTATGGGGGTCCCTCCCCACCCCAGCCCTCCTATGGGGGTACCTATGGGGGTCCCTATTGGGCTCCTATGGGGGCTCCTATGGGGCTCCTATGGGGGTCCTATGGGGGTCCTATGGGGGTCCCTATGGGGGCTCTTATGGGGGCTCCTATGGGGGTCCCCCCACCCCAGCCCTCCTATAGGGGCTCCTATGGGGGTCCCTATGGGGGCTCTTATGGGGGCTCCTATGGGGGTCCCCCCACCCCAGCCCTCCTATGGGGGTCCCTATGGGGGCTCTTATGGGGGCTCCTATGGGGGTCCCTATGGGGCTCCTATGGGGGTTACCTATGGGGGTTCCTATGGGGGTCCTATGGGGGTACCTATGGGGGACCTTATGGGGGCTCTTATGGGTGTCCCTATGGGGGTCCCTTTGGGGGTCCCTATGGACCCCGATACCTTCATGGGAGTCATTGGCTCCTATAGGGGTGTTAACAATGGAACCTAATGGGGGGCTCCTATAGGGGTGTTAACACCGGAACCTAATGGGGGGGTCTCTGCACTGGGGGGGTTCAGGGCCCCCCCAGGCTGACCGATCCCCCCCTGCCCCCCAGATCTACACTGAGCTCCATTGGGCCCTGTAGGAGGTGAAGGACGACTTCAAGCGGCTTATGGGGCGCTTCCAGAAGTGAGGTGGGAGCCAAAGACCCCATAGCCCCCCTATAGACCCCCCCACAGACCCCATATTGATCCCCCCATACACCCCCTATAGACCCCCATACACCCCCTATAGACCCCCATACACCCCCTATAGACCCCCCCCATAGACCCCCCCACAGACCCCCTATAGACCCCCCCACAGACCCCCTATTGACCCCCCCATAGACCCCCTATAGACCCCCCCATAGACCCCCTATAGACCCTCTGGTGACCTCCCCATAGACTCACGTAGACCCCCCATAGACCCCCTATAGACCCCCCACAGACCCCGTATTGACCCCCCCATAGACCCCCTATAGAACCCCCATAGACCCCCCCATAGACCCCGTATTAATCCCCCCATAGACCCCCTATAGGCCCCCCATAGCCCCCCCCTTAACCCCCTTTTCCCCTCTCACAGCCTTTTGCATCAACCCCTGCGGTGAGTTGGGGGTCAGGGATAGGGGGGAGGTGATTATGGGGTGGATGGGGGGGTTATTATGGGATGGGGGCTATTATGGGATGGAGGGGGAGTTATTCTGGAGTGGAGGGGTGGTTATTATGGGATGGGGGGCTATTATGGGGTGGAGGGGGGATTATTATGGTGTTGAGGGGGGCTATTATGGGGTCGGGTGGGGGGTTTATTTGTTGGGGGGCTATTATGGGGTGCATGCGGGGGTTATCATGGGTTGGGGTGTTATTATGGGGTAGAGGGGGGGTATTATCGGTTGGGGGTTATTATGGTGTGGAGGAGTGGGTTATTATGGGATGGAGGGGAGGTTATGGGGTGAGGGGAGGTTATTATGGGGTGGAGGGGTGGGTTATTATGGGATGGAGGGGGGGTTATTATGGGGTGAGGGGAGGTTATTATGGGGTGGAGGGGTGGGTTATTATGGGATGGAGGGGGGTTATTATGGGGTGAGGGGAGGTTATTATGGGGTGGAGGGGTGGGTTATTATGGGATGCCCCCCCATGACTCCCCCATGCCCATAGGGCGGATGGATGCGGGGGTCAGCGGGGGGGGGGGGTCATGGGGGGGGGGTCCTAATGTAATGGGGGGGTTATAGGGGGCAATGTGAGAGTCCTGGGGGGGGTGTCCTAATGTAATGGAGGGGGGTCCTGGGGGGGTCCTATTGTAATGGGGGGGTCCTGGGGGGGGGAGTTAATATAGGTGAGGTCCTGGAGGGGTCCAATATAAGGGGGGTCCTGGGGGGGGGATCCTATTGTAATGGGGGGGTCCTGGGGGGGTCCAATATAAAGGGGGTCCGAGGGGGCCCCAATGTAATGGGGGTCCTGGGAGGGGTCCAAATGTAATGGGGGGGTCCTGGGGGGGGGATTCCAATGTAAGTGGGGTGCGGGGGCATCCTATTGTAATGGGGGGTCCTGGGGGGGGTTAATATAGGGGTAACCCTGGGGGGTGCAATATAAGGGGGTCCTGGGGGGAAGCCCAATGTAATTGGGGGGTCCTTGGGGGGGGGGGGGGGAATATAATGGGGGTCCTATTGTAATTGGGGTTCCTGGGGGGGGTAATATGGGGGGGGTCAATATAAGGGGGGTCCAGGGGGGGTCCTATTGTAATGGGTGGTCCTGGGGGGGGTTAATATAGGGGGGGTCCTGGGGGGGGGGCCGGCCGCTGCGTGGTAATGAATGGGGAAAGGGGGCGTGGCCTGGCGGGGAGCCACGCCTTAAAAGGGGCGGGGCTTGAGAAGCTCCTTATATGGGGGATCGGTGGGCGTGGCCTAGCGCTAAGCCGTGCCCCCAAAAAGGGCGGGAGTTAAGAACACCTTATATGGATGTCTGGTGGGTGTGGCCTATCGACCCCCCCCCCCCCCCCCCCCAAAGGGCGGGGCTTGAGAAGCTCCTTATATGGCGGGTTTGTGGGCGTGGCCTAACGCTAAACCACTCCCAATAGGGGCGGGTTCCTATTGGGAATTGCCTTCTGTGGGCGTGACCTAAATGCTAAGCTCCGCCCCTATTGGTTTTAAGCCCCACCCCTTATATGATTAAGTGGGAGTGGCCTAGCGCGAAGCCTCGCCCAATAGGGGCGGTGCTTAAGGAGCTCCTTATAAGGGATAAAACAGAAGGCGTGGCCTCAGCGTGAAGCCCCGCCCACGGCTCGCTCTGACCCCGCCTACAGGGGTTGCCTCCGGCTCCGCCCCCTCTGCGGAGGCTCCGCCCCTTCGCGCCAATAAAGGAGCCGCAGCCGCATGAATGGGAAAGAGAATGAATGGGAAAGAGAATGAATGGGAAAGGCATGAATGGGAAAGAGAATGAATGGGAAAGGCATGAATGGGAAAGAGAATGAATGGGAAAGAGAATGAATGGGAAAGGCATGAATGGGAAAGAGAATGAACGGGAAAGAGAATGAACGGGAAAGAGAATGAATGGGAAAGAGAATGAATGGGAAAGAGAATGAATGGGAAAGAGAATGAATGGAAGATCACGTGGGGAAAAGGTGGGGGCGTGGCATCCCGAAGCCACGCCCACAGAGGCAACACCCCCGGCCCCATTCATCCCCTTTGGGTCACACAGGACACGTGTGAGCTTTAATGGGAGCATGGCACGGGGGGGGGGTTTCTTTGGGTGCCCCCCATGGATCCATAGGGTGCCGGGGGTGGGGTGGGTGGGGGGGTCCCTATGGAGCCCCATCCCGGGGCAGCCCCCGTTGGTTGGCAGGGACCTCATCCTGCTCCAGGTCCCGGAGCAGGCGGCGCACGCGGCACAGGGCCTGCAGGAGCCCCCCCTCCTCGTCGGGGACCCCCCCTTTGTCCTCGGGGACCCCCCCTTTGTCCTCGGGGGTCCCCCCTCTGCTCTCGTCATCGGCGTCCCCCCCCCCCGCCCGCAGCAGGAAGCCCCGGCTGGGCAGCAGCAGGGGGGGGTGCTCGGAGAAGCTCTCGAAGATGTCACCTGGGGGGGGACACACATGGGTAGGGGGGGCAATGGGGATAATGGGGGGCAAGGAGGGCAATGTGGGGCAATGGAGGGCAATGGAGACAATGGGGGGGCAATGAGGGGGCAAGGGGGGGCAATGGGGATAATGGGGGGCAATGGGGGCAATGTGGGGCAATGGGGACAATGGGGGGGCAGTGGGGACAATGGGGACAATGGGGGGCAATGGGGACAATGGGGGACAATGGGGGGCAATGGGGACAATGGGGGGACAGTGGGGACAGGTGGAAGAGGCAATGGGGAGAATGGGGGGGCAAGAGGGACACGTGGGGGGGCAATGGGGACAAAGAGGGGGCAATGGGGACAACGGGACAAGGGGGGGGCAATGGGGACAACAGGGGGGCAATGGGGTCACGTGGGGAGGTAATGGGGGGAATAGGGACACGTGGGGGGCAATGGGGATACAAGGGCAGCAATGGGGACAATGAGGGAGCAATGGGGACACGTGGGGGGGCAATGGGGACAGATGGGGGGCACTGGGGACAATGGGGGGACAGTGGGTACAGGCGGAGAGGGCAATGGGGAGAATGTGGGGGCAATGGGGCACAAGGGGGGGCAATAGGGACACAAGGTGGGCAATGGGGACATTGAGGGGGGCAATGGGGATACAAAGGGGGGCAATGGGGACAATGGGGGGGCAATGGGGGGACAAGGGGGGGCAATGGGAACAATGGAGGGGGCAATGGAGATACCAATGGGGACAATGGGGGGGCAATGGGGACACAGGGGGGGCAATGGGGACAATGGGGGGCAATGGGGACACAACGGGGGGCAAGAGGGAGAATGGGGGGCAATGGGGACAATGGGGGGCAACGGGGGGACAATGGGCAATGGAGGGGCAATGGGGCACAAGGGGGAGCAACGGGGAGAATGGGGGCAATGGGGATACAAGGGGGGCAATGAGGGGCCAATGGGGACATGGGGGGGGGGAATGGGGATAATGGCGGGGCAATGGGGACAATGGGAAGGCAATGGGGACACATGGGGGGCAATGGGGACACATGGGGGGCAATGGGGACACAACGGTGGGGCAATGGGGGGGCAATGGGGACACAAGGGTGGGGCAATGGGGGGGCAATGGGGACACATGGGGGGCAATGGGGACACAAGGGTGGGGCAATGGGGGGGGCAATGGGGACACAAGGGTGGGGCAATGGGGGGGCAATGGGGACACATGGGGGGCAATGGGGACACAAGGGTGGGGCAATGGGGGGGCAATGGGGACACATGGGGGGCAATGGGGACACAAGGGTGGGGCAATGGGGGGGCAATGGGGACACATGGGGGGCAATGGGGACGGGGGGGGGGGGGGGGCACTGACCTGCAGTGACCTGGTCGCGCTCCTCGGGGGCGGGGCTCCAGGCGGGGGGCGGGGCCTGCCCCCCCCCAAGCTGGTAATGGCTCAGGATGTGGTGGAGCTGAGCCGGGCTCAGCGCCGGGAACTCGGCCCGGAGCCGGGCCCACGTCATCTGCAGGGAGAGAGATACCCACCATTGAACCCCATTGAACCCCATTGAACCCCACTGAACCCCATTGAACCCCACTGAACCCCATTGAACCCCACAACCCCATTGAACACCATTGAACACCACTGAACACCATTGAACCCCATTGAATCCCATTGAACCCCATTGAACCCCACTGAACCCCACTGAACCCCACTGAACACCATTGAACACCACTGAACACCATTGAACCCCATTGAATCCCATTGAACACCACTGAACCCCATTGAACCACACTGAATCCCATTGAACCCCATTGAATCCCACTGAACCCCATTGAACACCATTGAACACCACTGAACCCCACTGAGTCCCACTGAACCCCATTGAGTCCCACTGAACCCCATTGAACCCCACTGAACCCACTGAACCCCATTGAACACCATTGAACACCACTGAACACAACTGAACCCCATTGAATCCCATTGAACCCCACTGAACCCCATTGAACCCCACAACCCCATTGAACACCATTGAACACCACTGAACACCATTGAACCCCATTGAATCCCATTGAACCCCATTGAACCCCACTGAACACCATTGAACACCACTGAACACCATTGAACCCCACTGAATCCCATTGAACCCCATTGACTCCCATTGAACACCACTGAACCCCATTGAACCCCACTGAATCCCATTGAACCCCATTGAACCCCATTGACTCCCATTGAACACCACTGAACCCCATTGAACCCCACTGAATCCCATTGAACCCCATTGAATCCCACTGAACCCCATTGAACACCATTGAACACCACTGAACCCCATTGAGTCCCACTGAACCCCATTGAACCCCACTGAACCCCATTGAAGCCCATTGAGTCCCATTGACTCCCATTCACTCCCATTGATTCCCATTGAACCCCATTGACTCCCACTGATTCCCACTGAACCCCATTGAACCCCACTGATTCCCAGTGTATCCCATTGACTCCCATTGAACCCCATTGACTCCCATCCCATTCCCATTGATTCCCATTGACTCCCATCCCATTCCCAGTGCCTCCCAGTGCATCCCAGTGCATCCCCACCTTGCTGAGGCAGGGTATCCCATTGACTCCCATTGAGTCCCAATGTATCCCATTGACTCACATTGAACCCCATTGACTCCCATTGAGTACCAGTGTATCCCATTGATTCCCACTGAGTCCCACTGAACCCCATTGAACCCCATTGACTCCCACCGCATTCCCAGTGTATCCCAGCTCATTCCCACCTTGCTCAGGCAGGCTCTAAGGGTGCAGAGCAGGTTGGAGGCTGCCCCCCACTAACTCCCATTGAACCCCATTGACTCCCACTGAACCCCATTGACTCCCATTGACTCCCAGTGTATCCCATCACATTATCATTGACTCCCAGTGTATCCCAGTGCATCCCAGTGCATCCCCACCTTGCTGAGGCAGGCCCTGGGGGTGCAGAGCAGGTTGGAGGCTGCCCCCCCATTGACTCCCATTGAACCCCATTGACTCCTATTGAACCCCATTGATTCCCATTGACTCCCACTGACTCCCATTGACTCCCATCCCATTCCCAGTGCATCCCAGTGCATCCCCACCTTGCTGAGGCAGGCCCTGGGGGTGCAGAGCAGGTTGGAGGCTGCCCCCCCATTGACTCCCATTGAACCCCATTGATTCCCATTGAACCCCATTGACTCCCATTGACTCCCACTGACTCCCATTGACTCCCATCCCATTCCCATTGACTCCCAGTGTATCCCAGTGCATCCCAGTGCATCCCCACCTTGCTGAGGCAGGCCCTGGGGGTGCAGAGCAGGTTGGAGGCTGCCCCCCCATTGACTCCCATTGAACCCCATTGACTCCTATTGAACCCCATTGATTCCCATTGACTCCCACTGACTCCCATTGACTCCCATCCCATTCCCATTGACTCCCAGTGCATCCCCACCTTGCTGAGGCAGGCCCTGGGGGTGCAGAGCAGGTTGGAGGCTGCCCCCCCATTGACTCCCATTGAACCCCATTGACTCCTATTGAACCCCATTGATTCCCATTGACTCCCACTGACTCCCATTGACTCCCATCCCATTCCCAGTGCATCCCAGTGCATCCCCACCTTGCTGAGGCAGGCCCTGGGGGTGCAGAGCAGGTTGGAGGCTGCCCCCCCATTGACTCCCATTGAACCCCATTGACTCCTATTGAACCCCATTGATTCCCATTGACTCCCACTGACTCCCATTGACTCCCATCCCATTCCCATTGACTCCCAGTGCATCCCCACCTTGCTGAGGCAGGCCCTGGGGGTGCAGAGCAGGTTGGAGGCTGCCCCCCCATTGACTCCCATTGAACCCCATTGACTCCTATTGAACCCCATTGATTCCCATTGACTCCCACTGACTCCCATTGACTCCCATCCCATTCCCAGTGCATCCCAGTGCATCCCCACCTTGCTGAGGCAGGCCCTGGGGGTGCAGAGCAGGTTGGAGGCTGCCCCCCCATTGACTCCCATTGAACCCCATTGATTCCCATTGAACCCCATTGACTCCCATTGACTCCCACTGACTCCCACTGACTCCCATCCCATTCCCATTGACTCCCAGTGCATCCCAGTGCATCCCAGTGTATCCCAGTGCATCCCCACCTTGCTGAGGCAGGCCCTGGGGGTGCAGAGCAGGTTGGAGGCTGCCCCCCATTGACTCCCACTGACTCCCATTGACTCCCATTGACTCCTATTGAACCCCATTGACTCCCATTGACTCCCACTGACTCCCACTGACTCCCATCCCATTCCCATTGACTCCCAGTGTATCCCAGTGCATCCCCACCTTGCTGAGGCAGGCCCTGGGGTTGCAGAGCAGGTCGGAGGCTACCCCCCTTTGACTCCCATTGAACCCCATTGACTCCTATTGAACCCCATTGATTCCCATTGACTCCCACTGACTCCCATTGACTCCCATCCCATTCCCATTGACTCCCATTGACTCCCAGTCCATTCCCAGTGCATCCCAGTGCATCCCCACCTTGCTGAGGCAGGCCCTGGGGTTGCAGAGCAGGTCGGAGGCTACCCCCCTTTGACTCCCATTGAACCCCATTGACTCCTATTGAACCCCATTGATTCCCATTGACTCTCACTGACTCCCATTGACTCCCATCCCATTCCCATTGACTCCCAGTGCATCCCAGTGCATCCCCACCTTGCTGAGGCAGGCCCTGGGGGTGCAGAGCAGGTTGGAGGCTGCCCCCAGTTGACTCCCATTGAACCCCATTGATTCCCATTGACTCCCATCCCATTCCCATTGACTCCCAGTGTACCCCAGTGCATCCCCACCTTGCTGAGGCAGGCCCTGGGGGTGCAGAACAGGTTGGAGGCTGGCCCCCATTGACTCCCATTGACTCCCACTGACTCCCATTGACTCCCATCCCATTCCCATTGACTCCCAGTGTATCCCAGTGCATCCCCACCTTGCTGAGGCAGGCCCTGGGGGTGCAGAGCAGGTTGGAGGCTGCCGAAAGCTTCTGGAAGAACTCGGAGGCGACGTCGCCCAGCCCCATTGCGGCCACAGAGTCCAGCACCAGGTCCAGAGTGGTGCGGAGCCGCACGGCGCGGCCCCACTGGAACAGGGCGCCCCCTGCAGGGGAGGACTGAGGCTCAGCGGGGGGGAAGGGGAGGAGCTATGGGGAGGACCCACTCCCTAGAGCCCCCATAGCCCCTATAAGCCCTATAGCCCCTATACCCCCTATAGCCCTTATGGCCCACATACACCCTAGAGTCCCCATAGCCACTATAGCTCCTATAGCCCCATACCCACTATAGCCAATATAGCCCAATACCCCCTTTAGCTGCCATACCCCCTATAGCTCCTATAGCCCCATACACCCTATAGCCCCTATGCCCCTATAGCTCCTATAGTACCTATACCTCTATAGCCCCCATAACCCCCACACCCTCTATACCCACATACCTCCCATACCCCCATACCCCCCATACCCCCCTATAACCCCTATACCCCCCATAGCGCCGATACCCCCTATGCCTCCCATAACCCCCACACCCCCTATACCCCCATACGCCCCATACCCCCATACCCCCTATACCCCCCATATCCCACATACCCCCCACACCCCCTATACCCCCATACGCCCCATACCCCCATACCCCCCACACCCCCTATAGGGCCCTCACCTCTCTCCATGAGGGAGTTGAACAGGGATTCGTTGCAGAAGAAGAACCACATCCCTCACCCCCACACCCCCATAGACCCCACACCCCCATAGACCCCACACCCCCCACATCCCCTATAGGGCCCTCACCTCTCTCCATGAGGGAGTTGAACAGGGATGCGTTGCAGAAGAAGAACCACATCCCTCACCCCCACACCCCCATAGACCCCACACCCCCATAGACCCCACACCCCCCACATCCCCTATAGGGCCCTCACCTCTCTCCATGAGGGAGTTGAACAGGGATGCGTTGCAGAAGAAGAACCACATCCCTCACCCCCATACCCCCATAGACCCCACACCCCCCACATCCCCTATAGGGCCCTCACCTCTCTCCATGAGGGAGTTGAACAGGGATGCGTTGCAGAAGAAGAACCACATCCCTCACCCCCATACCCCCCATAGACCCCATAGACCCCACACCCCCCATACCCCCCACACCCCCTATAGGGCCCTCACCTCTCTCCATGAGGGAGTTGAACAGGGATGCGTTGCAGAAGAAGAACCACATCCCTCACCCCCATACGCCCATAGACCCCACACCCCCCATATCCCCCACACCCCCTATAGGGCCCTCACCTCTCTCCATGAGGGAGTTGAACAGGGATGCGTTGCAGAAGAAGAACCACATCCCTCACCCCCATACCCCCATAGACCCCACACCCCCCACATCCCCTATAGGGCCCTCACCTCTCTCCATGAGGGAGTTGAACAGGGATGCGTTGCAGAAGAAGAACCACATCCCTCACCCCCATACGCCCATAGACCCCACACCCCCCATATCCCCCACACCCCCTATAGGGCCCTCACCTCTCTCCATGAGGGAGTTGAACAGGGATGCGTTGCAGAAGAAGAACCACATCCCTCACCCCCATACCCCCATAGACCCCACACCCCCCACATCCCCTATAGGGCCCTCACCTCTCTCCATGAGGGAGTTGAACAGGGATGCGTTGCAGAAGAAGAAGAGGTACCCGAAGGTCTGGGACACGAGGTCGGGGTGCAGGCGGCAGCCCCGGCTCAGCTCCAGCGCGCTCTGGAACACCCCCAGTGTGGGGCTCACCCCATCGGGGACGCGCAGCGGCTCCGGGCCCGGGCCCGCGCCCGCCTCCAGCGGCGCCGCGAACGGGTTCGCCTCCAGCAGCGCCGGCAGCGTCGCGTAAAGGCGCTGGGGGGCGATAGGGAGCGATAAGGAGCGATAGGGGGGGCGGTAGGGAGAGATAGGGGGCCATGGGGGGGGGGGATAGCGATTGAGGGGGCGATAGGAAGCGATAGGCAGCGATAGGGGGGCGATAGAGAGCGATGGGGGGCGATAGGGAGCGATGGGGGGCGATAGGGAGTGATGGGGGGCGATAGGGAGTGATGGGGGGCGATAGAGAGCGATGGGGGGGGCGATAGGGAGTGATGGGGGGCGATAGAGAGCAATGGGGGGGCGATAGGGAGTGATGGGGGGCGATAGAGAGCGATGGGGGGGGCGATAGGGAGTGATGGGGGGCGATAGAGAGCGATGGGGGGGGCGATAGGGAGTGATGGGGGGCGATAGAGAGCGATGGGGGGGCGATAGGGCGTGATGGGGGGCGATAGGGAGCGATGGGGGGGCGATATCGATTGGTGGGGGGCGATAGAGAGTGATGGGGGGCGATAGGGAGCGATGGGGGGGCGATAGGGAGCGATGGGGGGCGATAGAGAGCAATGGGGGGGCGATAGGGAGTGATGGGGGGCGATAGAGAGCAATGGGGGGGCGATAGTGATGGGGGGCGATAGAGAGAGATGGGGGGGCGATAGGGAGCGATGGGGGGCGATAGGGAGCGATGGGGGGGCGATATCGATTGGTGGGGGGCGATAGAGAGTGATGGGGGGCGATAGGGAGCGATGGGGGGGCGATAGGGAGCGATGGGGGGCGATAGAGAGCAATGGGGGGCGATAGGGAGTGATGGGGGGCGATAGAGAGCGATGGGGGGGCGATATCGATTGGTGGGGGGCGATAGAGAGTGATGGGGGGCGATAGGGAGCGATGAGGGGGCGATAGCAATGGGGGGTGATAGAGAGCGATGAGGGGGCAATAGAGAGCGATGGGGGGACGATAGCGATTGGTGGGGGGCGATAGAGAGCGATGGGGGGGCGATAGGGAGCGATGGGGGGCGATAGGGAGCGATGGGGGGCGATAGGGAGTGATAGGGGGGTGATAGAGAGAGATTGGGGGCGATAGAGAGCGATGGGGGGCAATAGAGAGCAATGGGTGGGCGATAGAGAGCAATGGGGGGCGATAGAGAGCAATGGGTGGGCGATAGAGAGCGATGGGGGGCGATAGGGAGCGATGGGGGGCGATAAGAGAGCGATGGGGGGCGATAAGAGAGCGATGGGGGGCGATAAGGAGCGATGGGGGGCAATAGAGAGGGATGAGGGGGCGATAGGGAGCGATGGGGGGTGATAGAGAGTGATGGGGGCGATAGGGAGCGATGGGGGGCGATAAGAGAGCGATGGGGGCGATAGGGAGCGATGGGGGGCGATAGGGAGCGATAGGGGGCGATAGAGAGCGATGGGGGGCGATAGAGAGTGATGGGGGGCGATAGGGAGCGATGGGGGGCAATAGAGAGTGATGAGGGGGCGATATCGATTGGTGGGGGCGATAGGGAGCGATGGGGGCTATCGAGAGTTATGGGGGGCGATAGGGAGCAATGGGGGGTGATAGAGAGTGATGGGGGCGATAGGGAGCGATGGGGGGCGATAAGAGAGCGATGGGGGGCGATAGGGAGCGATGGGGGGCGATAGGGAGCGATAGGGGGCGATAGAGAGCGATGGGGGGCGATAAGAGAGCGATGGGGGGCGATAGAGAGTGATGGGGGGCGATAGGGAGCGATGGGGGGCAATAGAGAGTGATGAGGGGGCGATATCGATTGGTGGGGGCGATAGGGAGCGATGGGGGGCTATAGAGAGATGGGGGGCGATAGCGATTGGTGGGGGGCGATAGAGAATGATGGGGGGGCGATAGGGAGCGATAGGGGGCGATAGAGAGCGATGGGGGGGCGATAGGGAGTGATGGGGGGGCGATAGCGATTGGTGGGGGGCGATAAAGAGCGATGGGGGGGCGATAGGGAGCGATGGGGGGCTATAGAGAGCAATGGGGGGGTGATAGCGATTGCGGGGGGGTGATAGGGAGTAATAGGGGGCAATGGGGGGGTGATAGGGAGCGATGGGGGGGCGATAGTGAATGATTGGGGGGTGATAGGGAGTGATGGGGGGGCACTGGGGCTATGGGGGCAGTTTAGGGCAGTTTTGGGTCAGTTCAGTGCAATTTTGGGCCCGTTTGGTGCAGTTTTGGGTCAGTTTGGCTCAGTTTTGGGTCTCTTTCGCTCAGTTTTGGGTCACTTTGGGTCAGTTTGGCTCAGTTTTGGCTCAGTTTTGGCTCAGTTTTGGGTCACTTTGGGTCAGTTTGGCTCAGTTTTGGGTAAGTTTTGGCACAGTTTGGGTCAGGTTTGGGTCAGTTTGGCTCAGTTTTGGCTCAGTTTGGCTCAGTTTGGGTCAGGTTTGGGTCAGTTTGGCTCAGTTTGGGTCAGGTTTGGGTCAGTTTGGCTCAGTTTTGGCTCAGTTTGGCTCAGTTTGGGTCAGGTTTGGGTCAGTTTGGGTCAGGTTTGGCTCAGTTTGGCTCAGTTTGGGTCAGGTTTGGGTCAGTTTGGCTCAGTTTTGGCTCAGTTTGGCTCAGTTTGGGTCAGGTTTGGGTCAGTTTGGCTCAGTTTTGCGTCACTTTGGGTCAGTTTGGCTCAGTTTTGGCTCAGCTTGGCTCAGTTTGGGTCAGGTTTGGGTCAGTTTGGCTCAGTTTTGGGTCAGTTTAGGCCAGTCTGGGTCAGTGTAGTGCAGTTTTGGGTCTGTTTGGCTCAGTTTTGGGTCACTTTGGGTCAGTTTGGCTCAGTTTTAGGTCAGTTTAGGACAGTTTGGCTCCATTTTGGGTCATTTTGGCTCAGTTTTGGGTCATTTTGGCTGGTTTGGGTCACTTTGGGTCAGTTTTGGGTCACTTTGGGTCAGTTTTGGGTCATTTTGGCTCAGTTTTGGGTCATTTTGGCTGGTTTGGGTCACTTTGGGTCAGTTTTGGGTCAGTTTGGCTCCGTTTTGGGTCACTTTGGGTCCGTTCGGCTCAGTTTTGGGTCACTTTGGCTCAGTTTTGGGTCACTTTGGCTCAGTTTGGCTCAGTTTTGGGTCATTTTGGCTAGTTTGGGTCACTTTGGGTCAGTTTTGTGTCAGTTTGGCTCCGTTTTGGGTCACTTTGGCTCAGTTTTGAGTCACTTTGGCTCAGTTTGGCTGAGTTTTGGGTCAGTTTGGCTGGTTTGGGTCACTTTGGGTCAGTTTGGCTCCATTTTGGGTCACTTTGGGTCCGTTCGGCTCAGTTTTGGGTCACTTTGGCTCAGTTTTGAGTCACTTTGGCTCAGTTTGGCTCAGTTTTGGGTCAGTTTCGCTCAGTTTTGGGTCAGTTTGGCTCCGTTTTGGGTCACTTTGGGTCAGTTTTGGGTCAGTTTGGCTCCATTTTGGGTCACTTTGGGTCCGTTCGGCTCAGTTTTGGGTCACTTTGGCTCAGTTTTGAGTCACTTTGGCTCAGTTTGGCTCAGTTTTGGGTCATTTTGGCTCAGTTTTGGCTCAGTTTGGCTCCGTTTTGGGTCACTTTGGGTCCGTTTGGCTCAGTTTTGGGTCACTTTGGCTCAGTTTTGAGTCACTTTGGCTCAGTTTGGCTCAGTTTTGGGTCATTTTGGCTCAGTTTTGGGTCAGTTTGGCTCAGTTTTGGGTCACTTTGGGTCCGTCTGGCTCAGTTTTGGGTCACTTTGGCTCAGTTTTGGGTCGCTTTGGCTCAGTTTTGGGTCACTTTGGCTCAGTTTTGGGTCACTTTGGCTCAGTTTTGGGTCGCTTTGGCTCAGTTTTGAGTAAGTTTGGGTCAGTTTTGGGTCACTTTGTGTCCATTCGGCTCAGTTTTGGGTCTGTTCGGCTCCGTTTTGGGTCCGTTTGGCTCCGTTTTGGCTCACCTTGGTCAGGTAATAGACGGTCTGCTGGAAGGTGGACATGATGACCTCATCCAGGACGCCCATGGCCTCATCGCACGTCTCCAGGTCCCTGCTGAGCTCCGGGCAGGGCCCTGTGGAAGCACCCAATCAGCGCCCACGCTCCAAGGATGCACCCAATCAGCACCCGTGCTCCATGGATGCACCCAATCAGCGCCCGCGCTCCAAGGATGCACCCAATCAGCACCCGCGCTCCAAGGATGCACCCAATCAGCACCCGTGCTCCATGGATGCACCCAATCAGTGCCTGCGCTCCAAGGATGCACCCAATCAGCACCCGTGCTCCATGGATGCACCCAATCAGCACCCGTGCTCCATGGATGCACCCAATCAGCACCCGTGCTCCATGGATGCACCCAATCAGCGCCCGCGCTCCAAGGATGCACCCAATCAGCACCCGTGCTCCATGGATGCACCCAATCAGCACCCGTGCTCCATGGATGCACCCAATCAGCACCCGTGCTCCATGGATGCACCCAATCAGTGCCTGCGCTCCAAGGATGCACCCAATCAGTGCCTGCGCTCCATGGAGGCACCCAATCAACGACCATGCTTCATGGATGCACCCAATTGGATGCACCAATCAGAGCCTGCGCTGCATGGATGCACCCAATCAGATGCACCCAATCAGCACCTGCGCTGCATGGATGCACCCAATCAGCGCCCGCTCTCCATGGAGGCACCCAATCAGATGCACCCAATCAGATGCACCCAATCAGCGCCCGCGCTCCATGGATGCACCCAATCAGATGCACCAATCAGCACCTGCGCTCCATGGATGAGCCCAATTGGATGCACCCAATCAGCTCCTGCGCTCCATGGATGCACCCAATTGGATGCACCCAATCAGGACCTACGCTCCATGGATGAACCCAATTGGATGCACCCAATGAGATGCACCCAACCAACGCCTGTGCTCCATGGATGCACCCAATGGGATGCACCCAATCAGCGCCTGTGCTCCAGGGATGCATCCAATCGGATGCACCCAATCAGTGCCTGCGCTCCATGGATGCACCCAATCAGCACCTGCGCTCCATGGATGCACCCAATCAGCACCTGCGCTCCATGGATGCACACAACCAGATGCACCAATCAGCGCCTGCGCTCCATGGATGAACCCAACTGGATGCACCCAATCAGATGCACCCAATCAGCGCTCGTGCTGCATGGATGCACCCAATCAGCACCTGCGCTCCATGGATGCACCCAATCAGCACCTTGCATTCCGGGGGGGGGGGGGGGGGGAACAGCTCCCATCCCCACCCCACGGCCTAGCCCCACACTTGGGGGGCCGGGGCTCACCCTCCAGCTCCAGCTCCTTCTCCAGCTCCAGCACCCGGGCCTGGGCCAGGTTCAGCAGCTCCGTGGCGTTGGCCAACCACAGCGTGAGCGGGCGCAGGTCGGGGCCCAGCACCTCCGGCCCCTGCGCTGAGGGGTCCCCATCGCTGCGGGACAGGGGCACCCCCAGAGGGGTCAGCAATGGGGACCCCATGGATGGGGATGGGGGCACCCCCAGAGGGGTCAGCAATGGGGATCCCCAGGGATGGGGATGGGGGCACCCCCAGAGGGGTCAGCAATGGGGATCCCCATGGATGGGGATGGGGGCACCCCCAGAGGGGTCAGCAATGGGGACCCCATGGATGGGGATGGGGGCACCCCCAGAGGGGTCAGCAATGGGGACCCCATGGATGGGGATGGGGGCACCCCCAGAGGGGTCAGCAATGAGGACCCCATGGATGGGGATGGGAGCACCCCCAGAGGGGTCAGCAATGGGGACCACATGGATGGGGATGGGAGCACCCCCAGAGGGGTCAGCAATGGGGATCCCCATGGATGGGGTTGGGGGCACCCCCATGGATGGGGATAGGGGCACCCCCAGAGGGGTCAGCAATGGGGATCCCCATGGATGGGGTTGGGGGCACCCCCATGGATGGGGATAGGGGCACCCCCAGAGGGGTCAGCAATGGGGACCCCATGGATGGGGATGGGGGCACCCCCATAGAGGGCAGCAATGAGGATGCCCATGGATGGGGATGGGGGCACCCCCATGGATGGGGATAGGGGCACCCCCATGGGGGTCAGCATTGGGGACCCCATGGATGGGGTTGAGGAGACCCCCATAGGGGACAGCATTGGGGACCCCATGGATGGGGGCACCCCCATAGGGATCAGCACTGGAGATCCCCATGGATGGGGATGGGGGGACCCCCATGGATGGGGTTTGGGGGTCACTCACTTCTCCGGCTGCCGGTCCCCAATCTCCTTGATCTTCTCCTGCAGGAACATTCCAAGGTGACCCCAAGGGGTCCCCATCCCATGGCCCCACAGCCCCTTTACCCCCATAGCCCCCTATGTCCCTCATCCCTTAACCCCATATCTCACCATGTCCCCCACATCCCCCCATGTCTCCCTCTTCCCACATCCTGTTCCACCATGTTCCCCTCCATTCCCATGTCGCCCATGTCCTGCATCCCATGTCCCAGATATCCCATATCCCAGTGTCCCCATATCCCTCATCCCAACCCCCATACCCCATCCTATACCCATACCCCATACCCATATCCATTCCCATACCCCACAAACATATCCCATACCCCATACCCATATCCATTCCCGTATTCCATACCCATATCCATTCCCATACCCAATACCCATATCACATACCCCATACCCATATCCATTCCCATACCCAATACCCATATCCCATACCCATATCCATACCCATATCCTATACCCCATACCCATACCCCATACACATACCCATATCTATTCCCATATCCCATACCCCATACCCGTATCCATACCCATATCCCATACCCCATACCCCATACCCATATCCATACAAATATCCCATACCCCATACCCCATTCCCATACCCCACACCCATATCCCATACCTATATCCATTCCCATATCACATACCCATACCCCATACTCCATTCCCATATCCCACACCCATATCCCATACCTATATCCATTCCCATATCCCATACCCATACCCCATACCCATATCAATACCCATATCCCATACCCATACCCCATACCCATATCAATACCCATATCCCATACCCATACCCCATTCACATACCCCACGCCCATATCCCATACCTATATCCATTCCCATATCCCATACCCATACCCCATACCCATATCCCATACCCCATACCCATATCCCATACCCATATCCCATACCCCATACCCATACCCCATTCCCATACCCCATACCCCATACCCATATCCCATACCCTATACCCATACCCCATTCCCATACCCCATACCCATATCCCATACCCTATACCCATACCCCATTCACATACCCCACGCCCATATCCCATACCTATATCCATTCCCATATCCCATACCCATACCCCATACCCATACCCCATTCCCATACCCATACCCCATACCCATATCCCATACCCCATACCCATACCCCATTCCCATACCCATACCCCATTCCCATACCCCATACCCCATACCTATATCCCATACCCTATACCCATACCCCATTCCCATACCCCATACCCATATCCCATACCCCATACCCATACCCCATTCCCATACCCCATACCCCATACCCATATCCCATACCCCATACCCACACCCATACCCCATATCCATTCCCATATCCTATACCCACATCCCATACCCCCACCCCACCCCATTCCCCCCCCCCCATACCCAGACTTCCTCCTTCACCAGCCCCGCGATCCTCGTCAGCAGCTGCGGGAGGTGCTGGGGGGGGAACGCGCTCCAGGCGTGCTCCAGGCACAGCCCCAGCAGGAACGCGGGGGCCAGGACCCCCATCCCCTGCGGGGTCCCCCCCGCACCCCACGGCTCCCGCACGATCTCCCGCAGGAGCCGCTCCTCGTGTTCCGCCCGGTACCGCAGCGCCTCCCTCCGGCCCCTGCCGGTACTGCAGCCCTCGCAGCGCAGCGCCGGCAGCCAGGGGGGGCTCTGCTCTTCGGGACCCCCCCCCCGGGGGTCCTTATAGAGCAAGAGGAAGTGCTGCCCCAGCCCCAATAGGTCCCCGGGGTTCAATGGGGCCCGGCGGAACAAAGGGACCCCGTTATGGGTCACCGGCGCCCCCCGGTACGGCCGCACGGTGGCGGGGGCCCCCGGGGGGGCCCGCACGAGGCAGTGGCGGGGGAGGATGTCCGGGGCGTTGAGGAAGGTGTCAATGGAAGGGGGGGAGCCCTGGGGGGGGCGTTCGGGGGGGCCCCGGCGCCCGAAGATGTGCTGGGAACGAGTCATGACGTAGAGCACGAAGTCCTGCGGGGGGGGGGGGAACAAAGGGGTTGGGGGGGGCACTTAGGGGGTGGGGAGGGAGGGAATGGGAAGGGGGGGGCTATGGGGTGAGGATGGAGGGGGTATGGAAAGATGGGGGGGTGGGGGCTAAGGAATGGGGGGGGTTGGGGACATGGATATGGGGGGGAAGAGGGGTCAATGGGGGGAACGGACAAAGGGGTCAATGGGGGGCATGGGGAGAGGGGTCAGTGAGGGGGCATGGGAAGAGGGGTCAATGGGGGGGCATGGGAAAAGGGGTCAATGGGGGGGCATGGGAAAAGGGGTCAATGGGGGGCATGGGAAGAGGGTTCAATGGGGGGCATGGAAGAGGGGTCAATGGGGGGGGCATGGGGAGAGGGGTCAATGGGGGGCATGGGGAGAGGGGTCAATGGGGGGGGCATGGGAAGAGGGCTCAATGGGGGGCATGGGAAAAGGGGTCAATGGGGGGCATGGGAAGAGGGCTCAATGGGGGGCATGGGAAAAGGGGTCAATGGGGGGGGCATGGGTAAAGGGGTCAATGGGGGGCATGGGAAGAGGGCTCAATGGGGGGCATGGGAAAAGGGTTCAGTGGGGGGGCATGGGAAGATGGAACATTGGGGGGGCATGGGAAAAGGGGTCAATGGGGGGGGCATGGGAAAAGGGCTCAATGGGGGGCATGGGAAGAGGGCTCAATGGGGGGCATGGGAAAAGGGGTCAATGGGGGGGGCATGGGAAAAGGGGTCAATGGGGGGCATGGGAAGATGGGACATTGGGGGGGGTCATGAACATTGGGGGGGGTAAGGAAATGCCCCCCATCCCCCTTACCTGCTTGCCATAGCCCTGCAGCAGCAGGAAGTAGGGGTGATGCTGGGGGGGCTGGATGAGGCACTGCGAGAGCTGCTCCAGGCTGGCGCCGTCCCCCCCTTCCTCCTCCTCGCCCCCACCTCCGGCGGCTCCATCGGGGCCGGGGGCCGGGGGGGTCCCGTCGGGGCCGGGGGGGGCTGCGGTGGGGTCCCCCCCCGCCACGCTGAGCACGGCCTTGCGCTCCCTGCGGCGCCGCGTGCTCAGGTTCATGTCGCTGATGCTGCGGCGCAGGGAGAGGTTCTCGGAGCGCTCCTTTGGGGGGGCCGGGCCCCCCGAGGCCGCCCGCGAGCGGTTGCGTTGCAGGCGCCGGGCTTGGGATGAGCCCCCTGTGGGGTGGGGTGCGGGGGGGGGGACAGGACAGGGAGGGAGGCTGGGTAAGGGCTGTGCTTATGTGGATATAGGGGCCACATGGGCAGCCCTATAGCCGTAGACACGTAGAGCGGCCCTATGGCCATAGACACGTATAGCGGCCCTATGGCCATACACATACAGCGTCCCTATAGCCATAGACATGTATAGCGGCCCTATAGCGATAGACACATACAGCGTCCCTATAGCCATAGACATGTATAGCGGCCCTATAGCGATAGACACATACAGCGTCCCTATAGCCATAGACATGTATAGCGGCCCTATAGCGATAGACACATACAGCGTCCCTATAGCCATAGACATGTATAGCGGCCCTATAGCGATAGACACATACAGCGTCCCTATAGCCATAGACACGTATAGCGGCCCTATGGCCATAGACCCATACAGTGTCCCTATGGCCATAGACACATATAGCACCCCCATAGCCATAGACACTTACAGCATCCCTATGGCCATGGACATGTATAGCATCCCCATAGCCATAGACACTTACAGCATCCCTATGGCCATGGACACGTATAGCATCTCTATAGCCATAGACAAGTATAGCATCCCTATAGCCATAGGCACTTACAGCATCTCTATAGCCATAGACACGTACAGCGTCCCTATGGCCATAGACACGTATAGCAGCCCTATAGCCATAGACCCTTACAGCATCCCTCTAGCCAGGGACACGTATAGCGTCCCTATAGCCATAGGCACTTAAAGCATCTCTATAGCCATAGACATGTAGAGCATTCCTATGGCCATAGACACACATAGCAGCCCTATAGCCATAGACCCTTACAGCATCCCTCTAGCCATGGACATGTATAGTGGCTCTATGGCCATTGACCCATATAGTGTCCCTATAGCCATAGACATATATAGCATCCCTATGGCCATAGACACGCATAGTGACCCTATAACCATAGACACAGCATCCTTATAGCCACAGACACATACAGCATCCCTATAGCCATAGACACATATAGCAGCCCTACGGCCATAGACACGTATAGTGTCCCTATAGCCATATGCACATATAGCGTCCCTATAGCCATATATGCATACAGCGCTCTATAGCCACAGTCATGTATAGCGTCCCTATAGCCATATATGCATATAGCATCCCTATAGCTATATATGCATATAGCATCCCTAGATCTATATGAATATATAGTGTCCCTATACCCATAGACACATATAGCGTCCCTAAATCTATATGAATGTAGTGTCCCTATACCCCTAGACACATATAGCGTCCCTATATCCATACATGCATATAGCGTATATGCACATAGCGTCCCTATATCCATAGACACATAGAGCATCCCTATATCCATAGATGCATATAGAATCCCTATATCCGTATGTGTATATAGGGTGCCTATATCCACAGACATGCAGCATCCCTATACCCATAGACACAGCAACCCTATATCCCTATACACATATAGCATCCCTATATCTGTATATGCATAGAGTCACTATAGCTGCAGACACATACAGTGTCCTTATACCCATATGTGCATATAGCATCCCTATATCCATATCGTGTCCCTATACCCAGACACATATAAGGTCCCTACATCCATATAAACATTTAGCACCCTGATATCCCTATATGCATATGGTACTTCTATATCCACATACACATATAGTGTCCCTTTATCCACATGCACATGTAGGATCTCCATATCCAAATACAGTGTCCCTATATCCATATGCACAAACAGAATCCCTATAGCCATATACACATACAGTGTCCCTATATCCATATGCACATACAGAATCCCTATAGCCATATACACATACAGTGTCCCTATATCCATATGCACACACAGAATCCCTATAGCCATATACACATACAGTGTCCCTATATCCTAATAAAGAGTGTCCCTATATCTTTATACCTAAATAGTAACTCTATATCCATACACACGTATAGCATCACTATATCCATATACACATATAGCATCCCTATACCCTTAGACGCATATAGCATTCCTATATCCATATGCACATATAGCACCCCTATATCCATACATACCTGTAGCATCCATATATCCATACGTACCTGTAGCATCCCTATACCCATATGCACATACAGCACCCCTATATCCATACATACCTGTAGCATCCGTATATCCATACGTACCTGTAGCATCCCTATACCCACAAACACCTATAGCACCCCTATACCCACACACACCTATAGCACCCCTATGCCCATACACACATATAGCTCCCCTATACCCACACACACATATAGCACCCCTATACCCACATACACCGAAAGCACCCCTACACCCACAGACACCTATAGCACCCCTATACCCCTACACACCTATAGCATCCCTATACCCACACACACCTATAGCACCCCTATACCCACATACACCTATAGCACCCCTACACCCACACACACCTATAGCACCCCTATACTCATGGACACCTATAGCACCCCTATACATGTAGACACTAATAGCACCCCTTTACCCCTACACACCTACAGCACCCCTACACCCACACACACTTACAGCACCCCTATACCCACACACACCTATAGCACCCCTACACCCACACACATCTACAGCACCCCTATATCCATACACACCTACAGCGCCCCTATACCCACACACACCTATAGCATCCCTATACCCCTACACACCTATAGCACCCCTATACCCACACACACCTACAGCACCCCTATACCCCTACACACCTATAGCACCCCTATACCCACACACCCCTATAGCGCCCCTATACCCACACACCCCTATAGCGCCCCCATACCCACACACACCTATAGCACCCCTACACCCACACACACCTATAGCTCCCCTATACCCCTACACACCTATAGCACCCCTATACCCCTACACACCTATAGCACCCCTATACCCACACACACCTATAACACCCCTACACCCACACAAACCTATAGCACCCCTACACCCACACACACCTATAGCACCCCTATACCCACACACACCTACAGCACCCCTATACCCACACACACCTATAGCACCCCTATACACACACACACCTATAGCTCCTCTATACACACACACACCTATAGCACCCCTATACCCACACGCACCTATAGCACCCCTATACCCACACACACCTATAGCTCCCCTATACACACACACACCTATAGCACCCCTACACCCACACACACCTATAGCACCCCTATACCCACACACACCTATAGCACCCCTATACCCACACACACCTATAGCTCCCCTATACCCACACACACCTATAGCACCCCTATACCTACACACACCTATAGCACCCCTATACCCACACACACCTATAGCACCCCTACACCCACACACACCTATAGCTCCCCTATACCCACACACCCCTATAGCTCCCCTATACCACACACACCTATAGCTCCTCTATACCCACACACACCTAAAGCACCCCTATACCCACACACACCTATAGCACCCCTATACCCACACACCCCTATAGCACCCCTATACCCACACACACCTATAGCACTCCTATACCCACACACACCTATAGCTCCCCTATACCCACACACACCTATAGCACCCCTATACCCACACACACCGATAGCTCATCTATACCCACACACACCTATAGCACCCCTATACCCACACACACCTATAGCTCCTCTATACCCACACACACCTATAGCTCCCCTATACCCACACACACCTATAGCACCCCTACACCCACACACACCTATAGCTCCCCTATACCCACACACACCTATAGCACCCCTATACCCACACACACCGATAGCTCATCTATACCCACACACACCTATAGCACCCTATACCCACACACACCTATAGCACCCCTATACCCACACACACCTATAGCTCCCCTATATCCACACACACCTATAGCACCCCTATACCCACACACACCTATAGCACCCCTATACCCACACACACCTATAGCTCCCCTATATCCACACACACCTATAGCACCCCTATACCCACACACCCCTATAGCTCCCCTATACCCACACACACCTATAGCACCCCTATACCCACACACACCTATAGCTCCTCTATACCCACACACACCTATAGCTCCCCTATATCCACACACACCTATAGCTCCCCTATACCCACACACACCTATAGCTCCCCTATACCCACACACACCTATAGCACCCCTATACCCACACACACCGATAGCTCATCTATACCCACACACACCTATAGCACCCCTATACCCACACACACCTATAGCACCCCTATACCACACACACCTATAGCTCCCCTATATCCACACACACCTATAGCACCCCTATACCCACACACACCTATAGCACCCCTATACCCACACACACCTATAGCTCCCCTATATCCACACACACCTATAGCACCCCTATACCCACACACCCCTATAGCTCCCCTATACCCACACACACCTATAGCACCCCTATACCCACACACACCTATAGCTCCTCTATACCCACACACACCTATAGCACCCCTATACCCACACACACCTATAGCTCCCCTATACCCACACACACCTACAGCACCCCTACACCCACACACACCTATAGCTCCCCTATACCCACACACACCTATAGCACCCCTATACCCACACACACCTATAGCACCCCTATACCCACACACACCTACAGCACCCCTATACCCACACACACCTATAGCTCCCCTATACCCACACACACCTATAGCACCCCTATACCCACACACACCTATAGCACCCCTATACCCACACACACCTATAGCTCCCCTATATCCACACACACCTATAGCACCCCTATACCCACACACACCTATAGCACCCCTATACCCACACACACCTATAGCTCCCCTATATCCACACACACCTATAGCATCCCTATACCCACACACCCCTATAGCTCCCCTATACCCACACACACCTATAGCACCCCTATACCCACACACACCTATAGCTCCTCTATACCCACACACACCTATAGCACCCCTATACCCACACACACCTATAGCTCCCCTATACCCACACACACCTATAGCTCCTCTATACCCACACACACCTATAGCTCCCCTATACCCACACACACCTATAGCACCCCTATACCCACACACACCTATAGCACCCCTACACCCACACACACCTATAGCACCCCTATACCCACACACACCTATAGCACCCCTATACCCACACACACCTACAGCACCCCTATACCCACACACACCTATAGCACCCCTACACCCACACACACCTATAGCTCCCCTATACCCACACACACCTATAGCTCCTCTATACCCACACACACCTATAGCTCCCCTATACCCACACACACCTATAGCTCCCCTATACCCACACACACCTATAGCACCCCTATACCCACACACACCTATAGCTCCCCTATACCCACACACACCTATAGCTCCCCTATACCCACACACACCTATAGCACCCCTATACCCACACACACCTATAGCTCCCCTATACCCATGCCCCCCCCCGTGGCACAAGGGAGCCGCGCTCTCACCGCCGCCCTCGCCGGCGTCGGCCTCGAAGAAGCGCTCCACGTCCTGGCGCCGCCGGATCTCGAAGCGCCGGGAGCAGCCGCTCTTGGGTTTCCACACGTCCTGGAGCACCAGCGGCCGCTCGGAAGCACCCACGGGCCTCAGATGCTCCATGAGCCACCCGCCGGCCCCACCGGCCCCACCGGGCCTGCCCACCACGTCACAGAGCACGTATTCCCCTAAGGTGCCGTCGTCCGGAGCCAAGCCGTAACGCTCCAACGCTTCCCACACCAGCTCCCGCGCCGTGGAGCGCGCCGTCGCCAGCACGCTCTTGTAGTTGGCTCCGCGGGAGATGTTCCCCCCGAAGATCTTCAGGATGCCGGGGAGCTGGCGCGGTGACGAGGACGGGTCCGGGCCCGCGCCGGCCCGTTGGGATCCCAACGCTTCCGGATTGGGATCCACCAACTCTTCCAGCTTCTTCTCGCTGAGCCAACGGGTGCCGGCGGTGCCGGTGGCGGCGGTGCCGGAGCGATGGAAGAGGTTGGAGAGGCGCTTGTGGCGCGAGGCTTTGGCTTTGGTGGCCGGGCGAGGCTCCAAGGGCTCGCTGCCGCGGCTCGCCGTGTCCGAGGAGGTGGATCTGGGAGGCAGGGGGAGCAAGGGGATCAGTGGGGGTCAATGGGGGTCGATGGGGATAATGGGATCAATGGGGATCAATGGGGATAATGGGATCAATGGGGATCAATGGGGATAATGGGATCAATGGGGATCAATGGGGATAATGGGATCAATGGGGATCGATGGGGATAATGGGATCAATGGGGATAATGGGATCAATGGGGATAATGGGAGCAATGGGGATCAATGGGGATAATGGGATCAATGGGGATCAATGGGGATAATGGGATCAATGGGGGTCAATGGGGATAATGGGATCAATGGGGATAATGGGAGCAATGGGGATCAATGGGGATAATGGGATCAATGGGGGTCAATGGGGATAATGGGATCAATGGGGATAATGGGAGCAATGGGGATCAATGGGGATAATGGGATCAATGGAGGGTCAATGGGGATAATGGGATCAATGGGGATAATGGGAGCAATGGGGATAATGGGGATAATGGGATCAATGGGGATAATGGGGATAATGGGATCAATGGGGGTAATGGGATCAATGGGGATAATGGGATCTATGGGGATCAATGGGGATAATGGGATCAATGGGGATAATGGGAGCAATGGGGATCAATGGGGATAATGGGAGCAATGGGGGTCGATGGGGATAATGGGATCAATGGGGATAATGGGAGCAATGGGGATCAATGGGGATAATGGGATCAATGGGGATAATGGGAGCAATGGGGATCAATGGGGATAATGGGATCAATGGGGGTTGATGGGGATAATGGGATCAATGGGGATAATGGGATCAATGGGGATAATGGGAGCAATGGGGATCAATGGGGATAATGGGATCAATGGGGGTCAATGGGGATAATGGGATCAATGGGGATAATGGGATCAATGGGGATCAATGGGGGTCAATGGGGATAATGGGATCAATGGGGATAATGGGATCAATGGGGATAATGGGAGCAATGGGGATCAATGGGGATAATGGGATCAATGGGGGTCGATGGGGATAATGGGATCAATGGGGATAATGGGAGCAATGGGGATCAATGGGGATAGTGGGATCAATGGGGATAATGGGAGCAATGGGGATCAATGGGGATAATGGGATCAATGGGGATAATGGGATCAACGGGGATTAATGGGGATAATGGGATCAATGGGGATCAATGGGGGCATTGGGCTCAGGGGGATCAATGGGGATCAATGGGATTGATGGGATCAGTGGGGTAATGGGAGCAATGGGGATCAATAGGATCAGTAGGATCAATGGGGATGAATGGGATCAGTGGGATCAATGGGGATAATGGAATCAATGGGGATCAATGGGGGCACTGAGCTCAGGGGGATCAATGGGGATCAATGGGATCGATGGGATCAATGGGGTAATGGGAGCAATGGGGATCAATAGGATCAGTAGGATCAATGGGGATAATGGGATCAGTGGGATCAATGGGGATCAATGGGGATAATGGGATCAATGTGGGTAACGGGATCAATGGGGATCAATGGGATCAGTGGGATTAATGGGGATAATGGGATCAATGGGGATAATGGGATTAGGGGGATCAATGGCATCAATGGGGATCAGTGGGGATAATGGAGATCAATGGGAGCAGTGGGATTAGTGGGGATCAATGGGATCAGGGGGATCAATGGCATCAATGGGGATCAGTGGGGATGATAGGGATCAATGGGATCAGTGGGGATCAATACGGATCAATGGGGATCAATGAGGATAATGGGATCGATGGGATCAATGGCTCAATGCAGTCAGTGGGATCAATGGGAATCAATGGGGATCAATGGGGATCACGGAACACAAAGGGGGGGGTGTGGGGGGGTTCCTCACCGCACGGACCCCGCGCTGGGCCAGCGCCGGCTCATCTTGGCCAGGCGTTTCTTGGGGGAGTTGATCCAGAGCCCCACGGGGAAGTGGAGCTTCCCGAAGCGGGGGCTGCCTTCCTTGCGCTCCTCGGCGAGCATGGCGGCGCTCCTGGGGGGCTGGGGGGGGGGGGACAGGGGTGAGATGGGATCAAACCCCCCCCCCACACACACACCCCCAGCTCCCATCCCCACCCCCCCAGCTCCCACCCCCATCCCCACCCCCCCCAAGCTCCCATCCCCACCCCCCCCAGCTCCCACCCCCGCTCTCCCACCCCAAGCTCCAATCCCCCCCCCCAGCTCCCATCCCCCCCCCCCCAGTTCCCATCCCCACACCCCCCCCAAGCTCCCATCCCCACCCCCCCCAGCTCCCACCCCCGCTCTCCCACCCCAAGCTCCAATCCCCCCCCCCAGCTCCCATCCCCCCCCCAGTTCCCATCCCCACACCCCCCCAAGCTCCCATCCCCACACCCCCCCAGCTCCCATCCCCCCCCCAGTTCCCATCCCCACCCCCCCCCAGCTCCCATCTCCCCCCCCCAGTTCCCATCCCCACCCCCCCCCAGCTCCCATCTCCCCCCCCCAGTTCCCATCCCCACCCCCCCCCAGCTCCCATCCCCCCCCCCAGTTCCCATCCCCACACCCCCCCAAGCTCCCATCCCCACATCCCCCAGCTCCCACCCCCAGCCCCCCACCCCAAGCTCCAATCCCCCCCCCAGCTCCCATCACCCCCCCAGTTCCCATCCCCACCCCCCCCCCAGCTCCCATCCCCACACCCCCCCAGCTCCCATCCCCCCCCCAGCTCCCATCTCCCCCCCCCCAGTTCCCATCGCCATCCCCCCCCCAGCTCCCATCTCCCCCCCCCAGTTCCCATCCCCACACCCCCCCAGCTCCCATCCCCCCCCCAGTTCCCATCGCCACCCCCCCCAGCTCCCATCCCCAACCCCCCCCAAGCTCCCATCCCCCCCCCAGCTCCCATCCCCTCCCACCCCAGCTCCGGGCACCCACTGGTGCTCAGCGCCACAGCCCCAGGGTGCTCTGGGTCCTGTGTGTGGCCCCCCCCCACACCCCACTCCGCCCCCCCCCCCCCCCCCCAGGCCTTTGTCCTCTGCTCCCATCCGGATACAGGGACAGGAAAAGGGCGAGTCAGGAAAGGAAACCGGGAATGGGGGGGGGATATGGGGGGATGGGGGATGGGGGGGGTTGGAGGGGGTTATGGGGCTATGGGGGGGGTTATGGGGCTATGGGGGGGTTATGGGGCTATGGGGGGCTTATGGGGTTATGGGGGGGTTATGGGGGGGGTTGGAGTTGGAGGTGGTTATGGGGCTATAGGGGGTGTTATGGGGCTATAGGGGGGATTATGGGGCTATGGGGAGGGTTATCGGGTTATGGGGGGGTTGGAGGTGGTTATGGGGCTATAGGGGGTGTTATGGGGCTATAGGGGGGATTATGGGGCTATGGGGAGGGTTATCGGGTTATGGGGGGGTTGGAGGTGGTTATGGGGCTATAGGGGGTGTTATGGGGCTATAGGGGGGATTATGGGGCTATGGGGAGGGTTATCGGGTTATGGGGGGGTTGGAGGTGGTTATGGGGCTATGGGGGGGTTATGGGGTTATGGGGGGGTTATGGGGCTATGGGGGGGGTTATGCGGTTATGGGGGGGTTGGAGTTGGAGGTGGTTATGGGGCTATGGGGGGTGATGGGGTATGGGGGGGTTATGGGGTTATGGGGGGGTTATGGGGCTATGGGGGGGGTTATGCGGTTATGGGGGGGTTGGAGTTGGAGGTGGTTATGGGGCTATGGGGGATGATGGGGTATGGAGGGGTTATGGGGGGGTTGGAGGTGGTTATGGGGCTATGGGGGGGTGATGGAGCTATGGGGGGGGTGGGAGGTGGTCATGGGGCTGGGGGGGGTGGGAGGTGGTTATGGGGCTATAGTAGGATTTGGGAGGTGGTTATGGGGCTATAGGTTGCTCTGGTAGGTGGTTATTGGGTTATAGGGGGCTCTGGGAGGTGGTTATGGGGCTATAGGGAGAATTAGGGGGCTCTGGGAGGTGGTTATGGGGCTCGGGAGGGGTTGGGAGGTGGTTATGGGGCTATGGGGGGGTGGGAGTTGGTTATGGGGCTATGGGGGGAGGGTTATGGGGCTCTAGGGGGCTCTGGGATGTGGTTATGGGGAGGACACCCCCATCCCCACCTATGAGCACCTAAGGGGGGGGGGGGGGTCCCCATTCATTGCTATCACACACCTCAGCCCGCCCCACGGCTGTGTGGGGCCGCTTGGGGGGCAAAGGAGGCCTCTAGGGCCCGGCCCCACAGCGCCAATGGGTCCCTATGGGGCAGGCCCCGGCCCGGCCCCTCCGCTCTCACCGCCGCGGCCGCCATTGCCCCTTCCTTCCTTCCCCTCAGCGCTGGCCCCGCCCACCCTGCCCCATCCCAGGGCTCGGATTGGCCGAGCGCTTCCCCCCTCCCCGCGGCGGAGACAGCCAATGAGAGCGCGGAGGTGTGGCGAGGGAGGGAGGGGGCGGAGAAAGGGGCGTTTCGGCGGGAAGCGTGGGGGCCAATCGGAAGGCGAGGATGTGGTGGCCACGCCTCCTTCCCACGAGGCCACGCCCCCCCCAAGCGGCCCCAAACGCACGTGTCTGTACGCACACGTGTGCATGCGTGCAGGCACATATACATGCTATAGGCTCCTATGGGCACATACATGCGCATGCAGCCACATACATGTTACATACGTGCACCCATGCACGTACAGGCACATATACATGCTATAGGCTCCTATGGGCACATACATGCGCATGCAGCCACATACATGTTACATACGTGCACCCATGTGTGTACAGGCACATACACATGCTATAGGCTCCTATGGGCACATACATGCGCATGCAGCCACATACATGTTACATACGTGCACCCATGCACGTACAGGCACAAATACATGCTATAGGCTCCTATGGGCACATACATGCGCATGCAGCCACATACATGTTACATACGTGCACCCATGCACGTACAGGCACAAATACATGCTATAGGCTCCTATGGGCACATACATGCGCATGCAGCCACATACATGTTACATACGTGCACCCATGCGTGTACAGGCACATATACATGCTATAGGCTCCTATTGGGCACATACATGCGCATACAGCCACATACATGTTACATACGTGCACCCATGCACGTACAGGCACAAATACATGCTATAGGCTCCTATGGGCACATACATGCGCATGCAGCCACATACATGTTACATACGTGCACCCATGCGTGTACAGGCACATATACATGCTATAGGCTCCTATTGGGCACATACATGCGCATACAGCCACATACATGTTACATACGTGCACCCATGCATGTACAGGCACATATACATGCTATAGGCTCCTATTGGGCACATACATGCGCATGCAGCCACATACATGTCACATGCGTGCATCCATGTATTCATTCATGTCCATGCAGACACATATACATGTATATCTATGCATCTATATATACATATGGGCACATACAGACACATACATGCTGTATATGTGCATCCATGTGCACATGCACACGTGTATACCTGTGTTCATATAGGTGTCTATACACATGTAGAGACACATAAAGAGACACACATGTATATATGTGCGTTCATGTGCACACACAGGTCCATACAGACACATATAGCCCTATGGAAGCCCATACATGTGCACATACATGTCCATATGGGCACGCACGCACCTATAGAAGCCCATACATGTGCACATACATGTCCATACAGGCACGCGCACACCTATAGAAGCCCATACATGTGCACATACATGTCCATATGGGCACATATAGCCCTATAGAAGCCCATACATGTGCACATACATGTTCATATGGGCACGCACGCACCTATAGAAGCCCATACATGTGCACATACATGTCCATATGAGAACATATAGCCCTATAGAAGCCCATACATGTGCACATACATGTCCATATGGGCACATATAGCCCTATAGAAGCCCATACATGTGCACATACATGTCCATATGGGCACATATAGCCCTATAGAAGCCCATACATGTGCACATACATGTTCATATGGGCACGCGCGCACCTATAGAAGCCCATACATGTGCACATACATGTCCATATGGGCACATATAGCCCTATAGAAGCCCATACATGTGCACATACATGTCCATATGGGCACATATAGCCCTATAGAAGCCCATACATGTGCACATACATGTCCATATGGGCACATATAGCCCTATAGAAGCCCATACATGTGCACATACATGTCCATATGGGCACATATAGCCCTATAGAAGCCCATACATGTGCACATACATGTCCATATGGGCACGCACGCACCTATAGAAGCCCATACATGTGCACATACATGTCCATATGGGCACGCACACACCTATAGAAGCCCATACATGTGCACATACATGTCCATATGGGCACGCACACACCTATAGAAGCCCATACATGTGCACATACATGTCCATATGGGCACGCACACACCTATAGAAGCCCATACATGTGCACATACATGTCCATATGGGCACGCACACACCTATAGAAGGCCATACATGTGCACATACATGTTCATATGGGCACGCACGCACCTATAGAAGCCCATACATGTGCACATACATGTCCATATGGGCACGCACACACCTATAGAAGGCCATACATGTGCACATACATGTTCATATGGGCACGCACGCACCTATAGAAGCCCATACATGTGCACATACATGTCCATATGGGCACGCACACACCTATAGAAGCCCATACATGTGCACATACATGTCCATATGGGCACGCACGCACCTATAGAAGCCCATACATGTGCACATACATGTCCATATGGGCACATATAGCCCTATGGAAGCCCATACAGGTGCACATACATGTCCATATGGGCACATATGCACCTATAGAAGCCCATACATGTGCACATACATGTCCATATGGGCACATATAGCCCTATAGAAGCCTGTACATGTGCACATACATGTCCATATGGGCACATATAGCCCTATAGAAGCCCATACATGTGCACATACATGTTCATATGGGCACGCACGCACCTATAGAAGCCCATACATGTGCACATACGTGTCCATAC